TGAGTGAGTTGTCTATTGTCACTAGTTTTTATTAAATAGTGAAAAGCTTTACACTCTCCTCTTATAAGATATATAGTTCTTCAGGCATGAAACTGACAGTCACTAGACAAAATGAGTACCCAAATTTCATAAGAATTTATATATTATTTATTTGAATCTTTATATTTAAACAAAAAATTCTCCAACTTTTGGTTTCTTGAATGGCTAATTTCCACTTTCTGAGAGAAAAGATTTAACTCCAGATCTTACAATACACTTAATTGACTAATTTTAAAAATAGGGTTAGCAAATCTAGGATGTGCACACTTAAAAATATTCTCAATTTTATTGAACAAGATAAATGAATATTTTTTTAAATCATCTAAATATAAAGTTATTTAATTATATTTTTTAATTTCTTTAATCACCCAACATGTTTCATCAAGCAAGATATATTTTTAAATTGTGTTTTATTTGCTGTTTGACAATTAAGCCATGTATAAAAATAGGAGTAATCCCATTTAGATAAAGGATCAGGCAAGTCTTTAATTTTTATAAAAGACTAGTGGTTGACACCTTTCATGACTCATTAAGAATAGTGGGGGGGGATAGAAAATCCAGCTGAAAGGATTAGCAGTTTATATCTGCTTAGAGCCATCTGTATCAACTCCCACACAGGATCAAGACACTGTGGTTGGCTATTCAAAGATTCAATGGTCAAGCCTAGATGATAGATGATCATAACTAAAAATCTTACCAAATATTTTCTTTTCAATTTCATGGATTGTAGGCTTCAGTTCTTTTTCAAATGAAGTCTTCAATTCATCTGGTATGAATCATTGTCTTATTTACTTTTGCAGTGGTTTTCTTTTTATCATATTAATGAGTATATTAATTTCTAAATTAGATCTTTTGGGTATAAACTTAAGCAAACAATCACTCTTAAATAATAAAAAAATGAGAGAAACTAAGTCATATTTATAACTGTATCCAAATGAGATAGAATTTGAAATTTTTTTATAACTAAACCCAATGCAAATATATCAATTTAATAAAATAAACTAGTTCTTAGCTACATGTGTCTAAGCGCATTCACATTGAAATGTTCTCTACTATCCAGTCCTGATGATGGAATTAAAATCTGCTAAAAGTGTAACAGAGGTTAATGACAGAGAATACATCTGAGGCTCTATGTGCTGACTTTTTGGTTGAGATACCATTTGTTTTCCAACATTGAACTTGGAGGATTTTCTTTTGTTTTGACTTTTTTTTTTTTTTTTGTAAAGTGGGAATATTTTTTTCCTTTCTATTCAGATGATATAATCCATTATCTTTGAAGCATATAATTTAATCAGATTCTCATGATTATTGAATGATTGTTGCTATTCCTGTAACAAAATAACTGTCTCTTACTATTTCATATTTGGTTCCTAATTCAACAAACTTTTTATATTTCTGTGCTTGCCAAAAATGCTTGAAACATCTGAACAGTTACTTAATTCACTCACTCATTCATTAGAGAACCTACAGTTTAACCTGCACACACACACACACACACACACACACACACACACACACACACACACACACACACACACATGTATCCATCAGCAAGTAAAAGAAGAATGCCAATGATAGCTTTAAACAGATAAAAATCTTAAAAGGAATTCATATAAATTACTGTTTAGATTTTAATTAGTTTACTTCTCAGTTTATAATTTTTTACAGGAACAAACAAATGTTTTCTGCATTCAAAAAGTGAATATTATAAAAATGAAAAAAGTCCTATTAGTTATGTAAAGAACTCCCCAATATCCTCTTTTTTGAAAACTAAACTTAATTTAACTGAGTAGTATAGTAACAGATGATAGAAAATGTAAGATACAAATCCAAAGTTGCAAAGGAATATTAAAAGGTGTCTTCCAAAAACTAAGCAAAGTATTAAAATATAGAAAACTATTGTTAGAAACAATTGTTATATAATATGTAATCTCCTTTATAGCAGTGAATGATGGAGAATTTTCTCATATATAAAGAAGAGAATTGAAGCAACAGATATGCTTCTTCTGATGACTTCTGAGAATACCATGGGCAGAACATGTGAGCAATGTGAAAGTTTTAAGGAAACAAGGAAACTTTACTTCTAATCAGAAAGTGATAGCTGATATTTTTGCAACTCAGAAAGGGTTTAGAGAATCTAGCAATATTCACATGATATATTGAAAGCATGGGTAGCAAAGGGAAACATCAAGTTTGTGTGAATGGATGGCAGAATAAAGACTAAAAGGGACGGTAAAGGGTCAAAAGTTACTAAGTTACTAAGATAAAAAAACAGGAGGTTATGGAGTGTCATAGTTGCCCATGTCCTAAAAAGAGTTGGTACACAAAAGAAGGCTGAATACACAGAGAAAACTGTATAATGCTGGAAATGTTTTGCATACACTTAATAAAAACAAGATTGTCCTTTCATTGTTTTAAAATGAAATATTAATAGAAATTATTAAATTTCAAATCATGTTATTTTATTTAATTTCAATGTACTTTATTTTACTTTTCAGTATGTAAATAAGTCATAATGAAGTGTATATTGGTTGGCTGCTAGAGTAGCTAGCCAATCTCTGTTGCAGATGTCTGCTCAGGCATAATTGTATTTGTTCAATACCCACAGAGCACACCTGTGGTTAATACAGTCACTGGTTATCATGATTGCTCTATCTTGGTCATTTTGATTTAGACATTGAGCACTGTGTATTATAACAGAGGTAGGTGTTTTTATATATATATATATATATATATATATATATATATATATATATACACACACACATACACACACCTTTCCTTAGCTCAAGAACAAATCTTAAAACACAACTGAAAATCACTATTATCTGACTACAAAGATGTGTGGATAAAGAAAGAAGGAACCTTTGACATTACAATGAGAAGCTTTGATGGTGCAGTAACTAGCCAGCTTATAGGTATACATTTACTAGAAAAACTCAGTAAAATAATTAATAAAAATGATATAGGTCTCTACAGGAATGACAGCCTCATATTCCTAAGAATCTGTAACAACTAAAATAATAAATAAAACAAGAAAAATTGTAAAAATTTTCCAAAATATGGGATTCAACAGTCATAAAAACTGACCTAAAAGAAGTAGATTCTTAGATGTCACATTCAACCTAAGAAAAGGTACATATCAACCATATAGGAAGCCCAACAAAAAAAGACACTCTACATCAACAGATCTTCTTAAAAGGCAATTGCTTGCAAAACAATATAATATGCCAAGCCACTGTAAAATCGGCAGATAATGAAGAAAAATATACATAGGAATAACGGAAGGACCCTGGAAACATAGAAACAATGACCCAAAAACATCTTTTACAAATAGTAAACACATGAAAAGTACAATGATTCTAACATATATGGAAAATTAAAAACAAAAATCAAAAACAATATCCAACACAAAAATAGTATCTATAATAATTTTTATACTTACATACTAAAAATTATTTTAGATACTATTTTTTGTGTTGGTTATGATGGTTTTTTAAGCTGGTTCAAACATTTTTCTCAAGGGCACAATCTTTTGTAGCTTCCATTCATGTGTTCTGTGTTTCTACGCAAAAGGTAAAATGCATTGGGTGACAAATAATGGCTACCAAGTGTAGTATGCATCTGTAGAAGTTTGATGAACATACCAAACAAAAGTTTGGAATGAAAACAATTAAAATTATTATATTAGTTTGAATAATTTGTGAAATAACAAAATTTCTTCATTTTAAAATTTCTGGAAAAAGCCCTTTTAGTGTAAACGTGTTCCCAGTCTTCGTGATTTCCAAGAATAATTGCTAAACCTTTTATTCTATGAGAATAACTGCAGCTCAGTATTAAATTTTGGGCAAAGATAATTTTATGTTGCTATTTCTCAAGTAGGATATACAAGTAGCAGCTTGGAACAAGAAATTGGTAAGCTACATTTGAATTCCAGTTACATTTATTTTTGCACAAATATCCTTTGAAAAGGTATTAATCTATCTTTTCTCTCCTAGGTATGGGTTAAATAGTAGGACTGACTGGGTTCTTCCACTTTGAATTGGCACCCAGTCTAGAGATAGAACAAATCTGAATCAGCAGCAATACCTCGTATGTTGAATACTGTGATCACATACATCACAGTTAAATCAACAGAATTTGTGAGTATTTCACAACGAGAATCTTTTGTGAATGTATAGAAAAGGAATATTTTTCTTAACTAATTTTATGAAATTCTTTTCTTTAAATGTATATAAAAATATAAATACCCAAACTTCTATTTAAAAGTGGAGATAATAGTTTTTCTTTATTATTAATATATATATATATATATATATATATTGGTAGGTTAGATATGTGCATAGGATAGTGGTTATTGGTGTGGAAATTGTGATCAGCATGCTGAGGTTGAACTGAGTTTGATGCATTCACTTTTGTACATATACTCTTGGGAAGAGAATGAATCCCTCTCTTCTTCCCCCAAGATTATGGGTTAAACAGTAGTGCAAACTGGACTCTCTAACTTTTGGTTGGCAACCAGTGTAGCAGAATTAAAAATTGGTGGTATTCGGCTCGCATCTTAATGCCATAAAGACCTAATTGTTATAGAAACAAAACAGCTGCAAAATCTTGAGTGGTGAGCCTGTGTCTGTAATCCACATGGGTTAAATAAAAAGTAAGAACTGGTAAATGAAATAGTTTAAGAAAATTTTAATTTGAGTCAGGTTTGTGTAGAAAGTATGAAGGACTCTATTATGTTTATGTAGTTGGCAGCCTAATTGTTTGGGTAGGAGCCAAAAAATGGTCTTGCTGTGAATACATTGGCCACAGTAGGTAGATAGGATTGTAAACATGTAATGAGGCAAGTCTAAAAGGTCAAATGAAAGCATCAAGGAGCAGAGATATTTTTCTAATTGTTTGTAATTCCAGTGGGTCTTGTGTTCCCAGCTGCTAAGCACTAAATATTCAAGACTGGGCACATGCTTATCCTTAGAGGATTGTTCACTCAGAATATAACAAGGGTTTGAATGCCATCAAAGGTGGGAGAAAACACTAAAGCTGGAATCAGCCTCAGTGCTCTGAAGGAGATTATCAAATAAAGAAGAAAAATAACAAGAAGGAAACAACGTTGAAGATAAAGTCTAATAGTAATTTGAGATTTGGAATGAAATCTTTTTATGTACTTGAGCAACAAGAAAACAACATTTTTCTGTCTATACAGATGCATAAAATATTAAGCCTTGTTAATTGTGCTCTGTTTCATCCATGACAGGGCGGATAACAGCAAATTACTCTTATGGGATCCATAAAAACTTTTAAGTCGAATTCACATCTAGATTTCAGTTAATATATGCATATGTATGGTATATTTACTAGCAGAAAAAATGCCATCAACAGGTATTTTTCTGATAAAAGATGGAACTTTGTCTTGGCAATGATATAAATCTAAAATTTAATGAAATTTTAAAAAGTAAAGGAAAACATCTACAAAGTTATTTTTAGACAATCCAATCAACCCTACCTGAGTGATTCTAAATTTTTATGTATAAAATCATATGATGGTCATATTTAGTTTTCGAATTAATGACACTTATTTGAAAATAGTCAATATAGAAACTCATAATGAGTGAATATATTCAAGTTTCCTGAAATTAACCAAGGTATAATTCAAAGGATTCATGCATATGTTATGTCAAATTTTATTCATCAGAAAGGCTTCAAAGACACCACATAATGTAGCAAACTTGTAGTTCTTCATTAAAATAGATGTATAGAAGAATGAAAGACAATGTTCAAGCAAAGAAAGTCTCTAGGAAGCAATAAAAACTGTTGCAAGTTACATTAATGTCTAAAATTAGAAAAGTTAATAAAATCAATGGTGAAAGACTGATGAGAGAGTTATAGAATGTCAAGGAAACCATTGTCTCGCTGTGAATACATTGGTCACAGTAGGTAGATAGGATTGTACACATGAAAGTGTGATGAGTCCCTATGCAAAGGTTTTCTTCCCTTTAAAATGTATTGCTTGTTTAAAAAGTATCCTCACTAGAGGATCTGTATCTTTCATGTATAATTTCTGGCCATGGCTGAAAAAGGCACAATAACAATGTGGCAGAATGTGGGTTTAATGGCCATATTTGTGCTGCACACTGATCAATCTGTGAAATGGTATGATTATAAAGCAAAGCCTACACTCAGAAATGAGAAATCCATTATGTATATATGTATACCTGACTATAACCAAAGTTTATCTTCCATATGTACCAGAAACCTTCAAGTTGAACTCCTCATTCAGAGTACTTGATCAGGGCAGTGTACTACCAAGGTGGTACACAAACTTATTCACAGACAACTTCCAATTTCTTCCTCTTATGTGGGTGGGTGTTTGAATGATATGGATGTCCAAATGCCAGTTGATTCATTGCATGTGTATTTTGAGATGTGGATGACCTACCACAGACATATCCTTTATTTAGTATGTTTCCACCAACAGTATTTGGAAGCTATTATGAAAATCTTGGAGAGGTTTCGTGTACTGGACATAGAAGTATTACAATGAGCTAACATATCCAGTAGAATCCATGGTTATGAAACAAATTTAGATGGTCTGATCATGGAGTGCACCTTGAGGATAACCAACTTCTCAAGCAAACATTGTATTGTAAATTGATTCAGGGAAAGTACTTGTAATGCAAGCCTTGACTGAAGGACAAACTGAAGAAGTCAATATCATTGTCAACACATGTGGAAAATATCACATCAGACAGAAGTTTGTGGAGGAATCTGATGGCTTCATGTGTTAACAACCAAGTACATAGAATATTGCCAACAAAAGTACACTGCAAAATATATGGAAGATGTAAAACCTCTTCTAGAAAGGTGATCACTGTAATACCTGACACATAATGATTGTAATCATGTATTCCTATCAAAAAATGGTCTCATAAGTCTGTATATTGTTCACTCTACCAAAGAGAACATGCAGCTTGACTCTGCATATCTCTTGTGTAAAAAAAAAACATTTCTACTTGCAGCAAGTGTGAAAAAGAATATATCTCAGTTGGTGGACTAAAATGTTATATGAAAGTTGACAAAAAATATGAATGTAACACCTACTGCAAGAAGCACCTAACATTGTCCCATTTGTGCAAGAGAATTTAATACTCTAAAAAAGCTAGAAAGCCACATCTGCACTGCCTATATTTTAAAATATATCAATCATTGGCATTACTCAAAATCAAATTACAGCCATCATGTATCAACCGTAGCTGGTATGACACAAACCACAACTCTGTGTACAATTATAAAGTTGAGCAAGGTTTGAGGTTTGACATGCAATATTTGTTGTAGGGGTTGTAAATCATCAAGAGGACTCACCCTCCATTTCAATAGGACACACCCAAGTTAACCTGCTTTCACTGGTAAACTCACATGCACCCATATATGGGATAAAATGCAATTATATTGCAGGGCTCAAAAGTCAATGAAGGAAACATAAGGCATTGTTTGAGAAAAACTAAATTGGTGTTAAAAGTGGTTGTGCTCACTCATGAGTTGACATTCTACTATGTATGTGTATGTATCTATATACTCACACACACACACACATATATATATATATATATATATATATATATATATACATCTCCCCCATATATATTTATAAAGATAAAAGACTATAGAAAAACTGTATTATTAGCTGATGCGTTTCGTCCAATGTGGACCTTTTCAAGGCAAATAAAAACGAAATGAATTTATTAAAACAAAGTAACTATTAACAACAAAATAAAATGTCCTTGGCAACTAGAAGAATTTAGAAAACACTATTGTATTCATATTGTCAACTGAAAATTACATCAGGTACTATCACATGTTGAAATATCTTTTTCTACAAGTTAACTCTGAGAAACTTTTCATACATATATATATGTAAATTATTTTCATATATAGTGTATCTATAAAGGAAAATGAATAAAAAGACAAGATGGAAAACTATTCTTAGCTGATGATATATATATATACACACAGGAATCCCTCAATTAGTGCGACTAATGTGTACATCAGTAACTATAAAATAATCAGTTTTCAATTACTATGGTTAAAATGAAGACTAATAAGATATGAGTTTAATTTGTTCCAAAACTGAGCTCATAACTAATATTTTCTCCATTAAAATTAATTGTAATATTTCCAATCCATTCCAGGCCCCTAAAAATTCACCACTGCTCTTTACACTTACTTTCTCTGGACCCGTGGTGTTACTAAAGGAATTTTTGCTAAATGATAGTAAAAAAGACACACCACAACACAATAGAGATCTCATTCCAGAGCAGAGGGGAACACATGTACTGTGGATGCTTAAATGAGACTTGTTCATATCTCAAAATTCAGCTTGTATCTCAAGGCCAAAAATTGGCCAAACTCTGGCTCATTTCTCAAAAAACTCTTATGTTAGGATGCTTGTATATGCATAAATATATACATTCACACATTTTGTGTTTGTTTATGTAGATTTATTGACCACTAAATATACTAAACCAACTTAGCTGTTCACAGAGGAACTAATATACTATCTCTGTGTTCCTAAATTCATATTTACCAATCCAATATAAAAAGATGAATTCTGTCAAGAGCAGGATTGAAATATAGTTGTTGTTACCATTCATATCCTTATTTTTAATCTAACACTCTCTCAATTCTCCTTTTCTATTGACTATTATACCAAATAATTTATCAAAATAGAAAGCATCTCTCTGAAAAATTAGCAAAATACCTTTGGAACCATGCAATCCAATTCTGAATGATCACTGTCATGGTTGACAATAGTAGCTATGGCATTTTGCTGGTATTACCATGCAGAGAGGTTAACCCTGCCACTATCTTTCCCATGAATCATACTAGTGAATAGATATTTTGATAACAATATTCAGTAAAGAGATAGCACAGGAAGAAGTGAATTCATTCTTTTTAAAAGGCATTAATGCAAAGTCTTATTAAAAGTCAACAACCATCTTTAGATCTATATAATCATAAATGTTAATTTCATGGGAATATTCACTCAAATACACATTTCCACTAAAACTAATAATGAAAATTCTCTGAAACTTATCACCTGTTGAGGTGTTTTCTTGTTCTTTGAATGCATGTATAATTGATTCATTAATTGCAAAAAAAAAAAAGTGTTCTAGCAAATTTTGTGGTGAAAGGAAATCAGTCTTCAGGAAATGATATAAGGTCTGGTAAATGAAATGAAATAGGTGATGGGAAATAACTGCATTCATTTGTGTAGAAAACAATGTTCATTTGTAAGAATTGCTTCTTAATGAGTGTGTTTTTTACCCTTCAAGTTGCTGAGAAGCTTCTAAGCATGTAGTGACACGAACTAACAAGAGTCGTCATGCTGATAATTGCTCAGCATGGCTGCCATGAAGCTGAGTAAGTGAAGGTAGGCAGACCTGGGACCAATACAGATGAGTTGATCCAACAAGGAAAAAGTTCCATTCTTAGGGTAAGAAAAATAATGAACATTTATTCATATTTTGGAAGTAGTTGCCTAAGATTAAAAAGTCAAGTATACATTTACAAATTCCAAAGACTCTGTTTCAACTTTAGAATTATCTTTCTGTTTGTGAGATTTGTTAGACAATATCAGTAAAGATAAAATAGAATTTTCTGATTTAAAAATAGTAAATATATATAGAGAGAGGAATGACAAGAATGAAAAACTTATGAGTGACATGTTTCATTCCAAGAAGTAAATTCTTCAAAAAATAATGTTTTTTTTTTATTAAATCTTATATATCTAAAAGGAGGAAGGTTGGCAGAGAAATACAATAAATGCTAGTTGCCTTTTAAATGTTGCATGTATTTTAATGTTAAACTTACCTTTCAGTTCCTTATAGGCTTTCATTTTTATTGTTACTATTTTAAATCATCTTACATTATATTAAAAGATGTATATTTATACATCTCTCTTATATATATATATATATATATATATATATATATATATATTGATGTGTGGTTGAGTGTTTAGGTTTGCTTTTTGACCATGTGACCTGGGTTTGAATCTAACAATGGTTGATTTGCCAGGAACATGACTTTTTGATGTTATCAGTGAGGAAAGTCAATCTCAGCATGCAGCAGCATTGAAAGGGCAAGAGTTAGAGTAGCAAAAGGGAGAAAGTTGTGGAGAGCTATGATCACCAACATCCTGAAAATACATGACACATAAAAGGAGAACAACAATTATCAAGCTAGTCTAACAGATCCTTAGTAGGCTCAGTCTTCACTTGGTGTCCCAAACATATGGCATTGTTTTGAGTTGGGTGGAGGTTGCCTTGGAGTTACAGTTGAGAAATTAGTTTTGAGTATTATTGGAGCCGATAAAACTAAGAACATTTTTTCTTTTTCCAGAAAATAAACAGTCATATCTCTCCACGATATATGTGATCATACCTCTATAGATTCTTTTACTTTATTATCTGTGAACTACTATACATTTTGTGGAAAATATTGGAGTGGTTTCCTGTTGCTTTCTTCACAGTTTGAAACTGAGATCTCCTCTTAGCCTGGGACTGGTTACCACCCAAAACTAAAGATCACAATCTACCTTGCTATTTAACCCATAGCTAGTGGAAGAAGAGATGGATTCATGCCTTTTCCAAGAGTATCCCTGAGAAAGTGAACACAAGAAACTAGCCCATAATTTGAACTCTTCAATTTCACTTTCTTTTCCTCTCCCACCAAATATCTGATGATTATCATTACACTACCTGTACATCCTTTTCTCTTTTGCAACAAGTATTTTGAGGTTATTTGTGTTTGCATTTAACTTTGTATTTGTGTTGTGGATGTGGACTTTTATCTGGCTTGTGTCAGAGAGTTTCTACTGATAAGCATCTTGTAAAAACCAGACATTCTGGACTCTTTTCCTCAGCAAACAATCATTAACTGAGAGTGTAAATTAATTTTTAGCTTTAATGATGGAAACTTTAAATCCTTGAGAGTTCTTTTCAATCTTGTTAGTGTCACAAGACACTAACAAAATACTTAATCTGCATTAAAACAGTTAAAAGGATCTTTCACCTCATATAGATATTATCTCATTTCTCTTCTCTCTCTCTCTCTGCATTTAATTCAGATAGACAAGTAGTGAGAGACAGAAAGAGAGATAAAGATGCCTATTATTATTGGTAGTAGTACTAGTGGTAGTATTTTGAATAAGTTGATGGATTTGACAAGGCTGGGTAAGGTGATAAGAAGATAATAAACACTTATCTTTGTTGTTTGCATTGTCCACTTTGACTTATTAAGATAACAACTATTAGTCAAGAAACACACATTATCTCTCTCTTTTTCCATTCTCCCTCTCAATCCTTAAACTTCTTTCTCTCCTATTTTTCTCTCTTTATGTATCTTTTTACTTATCTTTTCTTGCTATTTCTGATTTTTTAGGGTTTCCCTCTCACACTTTCTCCCTTGGTAGTTTTTCTCCCTTACTCTGCTACATTAATTTACTTTCTCTTTCACTCCCTCTTTTCAGCTGTGTACTCCTTTTCTGTCATACTCTCTTTTTACTCTGTCTGCCTCTATTTCTTTTTCATATGACCTCTCTCTCATTTTCCCCTCTTTATTTTGCTTCTTCTCATTTCCAGTGTTTTTTGTTCACTTTCCCTACCTGTTAATTTATCATGGCATTTTTTTCCTTTTTTCTCTCTTTCATTCCTTCAAACTTTTTCTCTATTTCAGTTTTTCCTCTCTTTGTTTCTTACTGTTATTTTTGTTCCTCTTTTTAATTCTCTCACTTTCTCCCCATTTCTTTTTTTTATTTGGCCCTTCTTTTCAGCTCTTACATTCTCTCATTCTCTTTCTTTGCCTTTTCTATTACCACTCTCTTTCTTTTTTATTTCACTATTCATATTCACTCTGTTTCTATTTTTCTTTCTTACTTTTGTATTTCCATTGTCTTTTTTATTATCACTCTCTATTCTTTCTTTTTCTTTTATTCGCCCACTCTCTTTGCATTTTTATTTTCTTTCTTTCTTTTTCTTTCCTTAGTCTTTTCTACTTGCACTTTCTGTCTATTTCTTTTCTTTTTTATTTCCTTTGTCATTTCTACTTTCGCTGTCTTTCCAATTCTTTTCTTCCTTATTTCTGTAATGTCTTTTTGTAAGCAAAGGTGAAAAGAAATCCACAGACATCATCAGCAGAGCCAAGTGTCTGTCCTCCTTCACTTTGACTACAGAGCTGAGAGAATTACACCAGCATTTTAAGTATTACTTGGTCCCAACTACAGATTGGCTGTTAATGGTCAATGACCAAGCATTACTGTTTCCATGCAATTCAGTACTATGATCTTAGCAACAGTGAACAATGTTGCCTGCATTGTCTTATTACCCTCTCAAAACAGCCAGTTATGAATGAGGACAATTCTTGAAGAAGTTATTCAAAAGAGAAACTGATTATTCCCATTGCACCAGATGCACCCAAATTAGGGTTTCTTCTGCCTGCCTGCCTGAGTCATTTCTACACTTTTCTACTCACACTCTCTCATTTCTATTCTTTCTTTTTTTCTTCTTATTTTCCTTGTCATCTCTACTTCCACTCTCTTTACATTTCTATTTTCTTTTTATTTGCTTTGTTTTTATACCCCCACACTCTCTACATTTCTTTCTTTTTCTCTCCATTTATTTATTTTTTACTTCCCTTGTCACTTTTTACTCCCATCAATTGATTCACAAATTAACAACTCATTCACATCAATACTCATTTGTCTATCAAGTGCAGTTATGGCCATTACTTAATAATTATTTAGATACTTTTTATAGTAAAAAATAAATATGAGAATAAAGTTTTTAAAAATTTGTTTAAATTATGCTTTGTTTTAATTACTTAGTAGATCCTCTCTTACAATAAGATATAACTAGAGACTGACTTGTAAGTCTCATCAGACATATCCTTTTTTATAATTATCCAGCAATTCTTTTTAATTGCTGTCTCTAATGAGACAAGTATGCATATTGAGTTTCTGGGAATAAACTTTGTTTTTAAAGCAACCACATCTGTCAAGTCTGGTGGGTATTTAACACTGTTTCTTTGCATAACTCATCTACCTTAAAATGTTTTGTTAAGGTAAGATGTAGCATTACAATAAAAACAGAAACCAGTGTTCTATCTTATTGATAATAAAACACTTCCTCTCTATCAAATGTCTAAAGAATCCTTATCACAACTGATCTTTTATGCATGTGTGTAAACACTTTTTGATATTCTTTGTGTATCTGTGTAATATATATTAAGGTGTTTGGAAAGTAATTATGTTTTACCAGAAAGGATATATAAACAAATCCAAGTTAAATTCATTTAAATATTATTTATCAAAAATATAATCACCTTCATTTTCAATGACTCTAACCAAATGTGAAGTCAAATTTTCAATTCCATGTAGAAAGAATTACTTTTTTTCCCTGAAAAAAAAAAAAATGTCTCAAAGACTGTTTTCATCTTCTTTGTTTCTGAAGGTTCTGTCACTAATGAAATATTTTAGTGATCCCAAAAAAATGAACACTAGCAGGTGCTAAGCCAGGTGAGCATGGAGAATGTGGAAGAACCTCCAATCCAAATGATCTTATTTTTTTATTGAGTTTTTTTTTTTGTAGAATGTACCTTTGCATTGATATGATGGAGAATAACACCTCATCTGTTTACCAAAGCAGGGCATTTTTGATATAATGCTTCATTCACCTGATCAAGCTGCTGGCAATAAATGTCTGCAAGAATGGCCCTTCTCTGTTCTATTAACTCATAATGGATGACACCATTCATATTCCACCAGACATAAAGCAAGGATTCCATATAGATGGAATCCTGGTTTTGATGTTGGTGCTGGTTTCTCACTTTTGAAAAACACTCTCATTTTCATTTTCTGTTGACATGGAATATGCATTTTTCATCACTTGTAACAAAATGTGATGCAAAAATTAAAGATTTGAATTCCTGGTTAAAAGACTCTGCTGCAGATACTGGAATGTTGGGTTCTTTTCTCAAAGAAAACCTCGTGATGAACTCAAATTCCTGTTTTGTAACTTCTTCTAATTCTCTTCAGATGTGGGCAGTTTAATATGACAGATTGAGTTTTTATGACACATCTCTGTTCCTTTGATAGGGATCCAACTCAATACTCTTTCAAAGTCTCTTCAAACAGAGTGGGTTGTTTTCCAGAATGAGACTCATTGATTATATTGCAATCATCTATTTGTATATCTTTTAAAGCACAGCTGACATGTACAAGCCTTCACTGCATCTGTATACACTGCATAAATGTTTTTAAATGCCTCTATAGCAGTACTAACCTTTGTGAATTCATACAGTAAGCAATGGTATATATTTTGTTTTTAAAGTTATAATTCTCCATGGAGTTAAACTCTGAAATGCAATATACATAAATGACACACTGTCAGAGAGAAAAAATGATAAACTAAATCAAGATGCAGTTTTTGTATCATCCAACCTGACTTGGTTGGTTGACTTATAATTTATGGTGGGGAAAATTTGATTTATTTTCTGAACATCCTAATATCTATCTGTATATGTAATTTTGATCTGAAATTTTTATTGTATAATGTTATCCATGAAGTAGCATTGGTTTAAGTGCATTGAAAAGGAATGAGATTATGCTGAAAAAGTATTTGTTGAAATAAATACTTTTTTTCATCAACACGCTATGAACTTAATGATTATGCAAGTCACATCTGTCCTGTGGTTATTACAGATTTTATGATTACTAAAACATAAATTACTGTAGAATACCTACAATAAATACTAGATATCCTATAAGATTTTACAGATTAATTTGTTGTTAAAATTTCTTCACTCTATGTCAAATAATAGCTGATGTTGAACTTTGCTATCTTTTTGGCAAATGAATCAAGCAAGCAGAAAAATGCTGGTTTTATGCTACATCAGTCATTTGTTATGTTGCAAGAAAAAAAATGTTAAAATACTATTAAATAATAAAATGATATTCTTCCTCCAGTCAGCCACTATTGTAGATACAGGAAAGATTGAGCTGTTTAAACAAAAAAACACAATTTATGTCCCACCAGAAGCAAAACCATCTTCAGTGATAGGTCACAAATTGTATTTTATATAAATATATTTTGTCCTAACTCATCCAACCAATTAATGATACTTGTAATACTCTATCTTTCTATGAAAGTGACCACTTATTATTATACAATTCATACTACTTTGCTACTAAGTATACTATTACAGAATTTCATTTAGTCAGGACAGAATTATGACTGACACTTGAGATTCGCTCAAACATTAAACAAGTTAACATGGATGCCAGAGGTACTACTCAAACCTTTGGAATTCTTTCTTTTTTTGTGGGGGGATCATGTGAGATAAGTATCAGTACTGGTGTCAAGAACATAATCCAAGAGGAAGTTGAACTGTTGTAAAATTGGATCATGGTGTTCCGGGTGTGTGAGTTTTCAGATATAAATGGGATTGGTTCATTAAGAGGAGCATTTTTATTGTACATTGCTTATCTACAAATAAAATGAAGTGCCAAAAAAATAGACAGCTACCTAACATGTAGCCCTTTCCTTCACTTGAATAATGGCAGCTACTGAATATAGCTTGAAGTCTATGAGGTGCTGAAATAATTGCAAGGAATTATCTGGATGTTCCAAAACTGTTTATAACTGAGTTGTATTTGTTCAATGTAGCTGCAGAGAATTTATTGTTGCCTGCATCATGCCTCATGCTCAATGGGGTCTGAATCTGGTGAAAACAAGTACCAATGGAATAATTGGAATCATAAAAGTATTCCTAGAGCCAGTTTGTATTACCTGTGCACAATGCTGGGTGTGTTATCTTAGGAACAATTAATCACCACTGGAATGCATAGTCAGTTGGGTTTAAATCTAGCTAGTGCAGGGGCCAATACAATATCTGGAAGTCAGTCAAGAGTTCTTGGAATCAGTTTCATATCACCTATGCAAGATGGGGTAGCATTATTTTACTGGAAGAAGTCATCACCACCAGAAAATATGGTGTGCATAAAAGTATGTAAATAGTCTACAATAAAATCTCTATGTTGCACTTGTCAAGTCAGACTTCAGTGACACTTGTGGTCATTGCGAATACCAACAGAACACACTATCAATCTGAACAACACTCTACAGACAAACTGGTTTCATAGCCAGATGTAGTATTATCCACATATGAATTTGGCTGAAACGTGTCCTAAAGAGATGGAAACATAACACAATATAAGGCTATATGGCAGTAGTTATTCTATGGATGAATGTTGATGTTTTTGCATTACTAATGCCATGGTGTCAATAATGATATTCTTGTTGGGTGATGGCTACGGAAATCCATGGAATGCAGTATAAATTGTAAAGTGTGTTGACTGATGGGTTCAGTAGCATATATCATAGTTACCATTATTGTTAGTTATTGCAGGTCCCATTCTTACATGATCATTTTTTGCATGTTGCATAAAAAAGATTGAAATTACTCTAAAGAAAGAGTCTATATTTCTTGCCTAAACAACTATTTCACAATCAAACAGTGTCTCCTAATATCTCTGTTAACCTTCATGAGTTGCTTCCCTTAGCAACTCTTTAACTGGAATAGGGGCAGCTCTTCCGGACATGTCTCAGTTTTGAAAATGACAGTGTGACAATATTTGGAAAACATGTTCCACTGTGGTGTACCCTGTTTGGTCACTATCACATCCCTATTACCAGACCTCCACTGGATTGTGGTAAGTATAATCAAATGCTTTTCATTAAAGAAATTACTACCAAAAACAGATCAGAAAAATTAGAATTGCAACAAAATTCAGACATACAAATAGTAAAACGTTGTGTGATCTAGTTAAGAGTGCAGGAATAAAAGACCCTGAATTCATGAAAATTTTACAAGAACTTCTTAATTCATGTGAACTATGCATCTGATATAAAAAGACTGAGCCCCAGGGCCATATTCATATTTTAATGAAAGCATTGCCATGGACATAAAAGAAATTAATGGAAAACAATATTGCATATAATGATCATGGTACAAGACATAGTGTTGGAATCAGGATTCCTAGTAAGGAAAGTTCTGGCATCCTTATTGCTATATTCGCCTACTGGATAGCATATTTTGGTACTCCAGGATCTATCCTCACTGACAATGGCAGAGAGTTCAATAACCAATTATTTAGGGACATTTTTTACAGAACTTGAAGATTGTAGTACACACTATTGCTGCTGAAAGTCCATGGTGCAATGGTTTGAATGAACGCCACAATGGGATACTGGGAGAAATGGTGAAGAAAACCATTGAAGACACAAGTTGTAGTTTTGATGTAGCACTTGCATGGGCCAGAAGTGCCAAAAATGCACTTCACAGTTTCCATGGTTATAGTCCTAATCAACTTCTTTTTAGTAGGCATTCAAACTTGCCTTCCTTTTTAAATGACAAACATCCTGCATTAGAAGGTATTTCTACTAGTGAAGTTGTTGCAATGCATGCTGCCAGAAAACATTTCATAGCATATACGTCTTGAGAAAAACTAAGACACACAAAACTCCATTAAGAAAATTGAGCTCCTGAGACCAGAACAAACTATTAAATGCAAGCTTGCCAATGATGATGACTCATAATAGTGAAAATTAAATGTCTTAAATAGGGCAGGCAAAGCAAGAGGCAGAAACAAACACATAATGTAGT